TGATCAGGGAACTTCATCGTCGAGGCTATGTACACCTTAAGGGGAGTGAATCTTTGCCGCAGATTGATGCTACACAGATTCCTTTGATGCCGAAGGATACGAAGGGCTTTGCAGATCACCTCAAGAAGGCTCAAGGGGAGATTGGATGCCTTCAGTGGTTGGGCTTGAAGACTCGTCCTGACATCCAGGCATGCGTTGGAATATTGGCATCGTTGCAGACTTGGAATCCTGAGTGGGTGTATAATGCTACAAAGGGCGTTTGGAGATACTTGAGAGCTACAGTGTGGTCAGAGATGATTCATCATGAAGGAGGATCCTTGGACATCTATGCGGAGTCCGATGCCAGCCTTGGGCCAGCAGGTTCTAGGTCTAGAACGGGGTTGGTTATTAGTGTAGGTCAGAACCTTGTTTTCTGGAAATCGTGTCGGCAGAATCTTACGGCGTATTCGACTTGTGAAGCTGAAACCGATGCATGCGCGACAGCTCTTTTCGAAGCCACTCGTATCGCAGGCTTAATCAAAGCCCTGACCGGACACAGGCCGCGGCTAGTGTTAGCTGGAGACAATGCGGCAGCGATTACTTCGATCACAAGGAATGACTTTAACCCTCTTACGTGGAGAACTCGGCATTACGCTATGAGGTGTGCTTGGGTCAGGGACATGATGCACCGCGGCTACCGCGACGCAGACTTGGCAGAGATTGAATGTTTGTGGAAAGCAGGGGATGATCTAGTGGCGGATGCACTTACCAAAGTCTTGCCAAGGGCCCGCTTAGAGAGACTTCGAAGGCGTTTGGGAGTCTTGACGAGTCGGATGGGCCACTGAGTTTTTCAAAGTTCTTTAGCGCCGAAGGAATAGTCCAGCGCTACCGTTCAATCATGTGACACTGGGGTTGAAAGTTCCAGCAGGCCGTTCCTCACGAACAGCTGGAAAGGAGGAGTGTTCTAGGAAACCCCAGATGTCCATGATGCTTTTATATGCTCACTGATGCCTTGGCTAGGCTGTTGAGCTACGTGTTTGAAGTATCTAATTAATATCTCTTGCGAACCAATTCTTTTATCTACTCTTTGAACACCGCACATGCATACATGACACACGTACGTGTTCGAGTGCTGTGCGGTAGGAGTAGGATGATGGGCACTGGCCCGAAACAAGAACAGAAAGAAGACCTCGTAAAAAGAAAGCGGAAAGGCTACGGGGCAGCCATGTAAAGGTCTAGTGCAAGGGATTCTCACTTCTGTTCGCGTGCATGTTTTTGCAAACGACATATGCTTGTCTCGAAGGCGCCAAGCATGTCTCAAAGCCATTACACGACGAAACTGCGATGGCTCAAGAACGACAAAAGGCCACTGACCGTGAGAGGGGTTTTTTGGAAGTTCAGGGTTTTGTCAGAGCGTCCCTTCGGTGAACACCTTTTGTGAAGCTCTAACTCCCTCGGAAGCCAGAGGCACTGAAAGCCCGTCTGCATTAGATCACGACATTGCAGAGTTCCTTCAGTGCATCAGACAGAGAAGCACGACATTGCAGAGTTCCTTCAGTGCGCGGGCGCACTGACTGGCATTCAGGTTGTAGTGATTCTTTAGGTCGTTTGGTTTCCCTAGCGTTTTCCCGATCCCGGTTTAGGCGGTCCTTATCATACCCTAAAAGGCTCAAACGTTCAAGCTGTGAAAGCTGGTCGGCGACAACGGTCGCGATCAAAGAACTGAACTACTTAGTATTGCTATGGAGCTATCGCCTGTTCCTACGCATTATTCTGTAGTCACCGATGGAAGCCCATATCAACAACAGAAACCATGCCAAAAGTTCACCTCGGGAAGGTCCATGAGGAGCTCCCCGGCACGGGGCTACAAGGAGGCCCGCGAGAAGAAGACAAAGGAGGTGGATCATGTTCACAACCGAAGTTGGAAAGGCAGCTACCGACGCAGTCAGGCGCTGAAGCCGTCAAGCAAGAAAATGCAATCATCCGAACAACCCTGACCCTTGTATCTCTGCTGCTGCTGCTGTACATGTAGACGATCTCCACACTCATGCAGAAGAAAATCGTGCCCTGTCTAGCCCTTTGTATCCCTGATTGAGAGTTGTCGTCCCGATGCCCAAGGTAGGTCCACACCAGCAACCCAGTGGTTTTCCAATTGCTTCCAGTTCTTCCGGTCGTGTGCTTTACTTCGCCATGGTCCCCCTGCTGCTGCATTCATGGACTTTTCCAGGTTGGATAGTCTTGGGTAGTGCCGACAGTGCGTAATCCCTTTTTTTCCGTTTCTTTTCGACTTCCCACCATGACCCCGTCCTGAAGTCCTCATACAAGCAACTGATTACTGGTTGATCAGCAAGCATCCCTCTGACCCTGTGGCCTGCGAAAGTCCACCATCGGCGTAGCCAGAGTGTCGACCAGCGCTCGAGTCCTGCACTATGCAGCGCAGCTCGAGCTCCGCGAAACGATCGTTGGCGATATTCAGTCCATGATTCTTCCGGTCGTTTTGCAAATCGAAGTAGCCATACCATAAGCTGCAGTTGAGTCGAATTGAGGAGAGACATTGCCGCCTTATCGGGCGGGAATGCTGCCAAACACCACAATGCCGTGTTTCCTACGACCCTCTGCATGACCTTTGCGCGAGACTTCATGTTCGACCTGCATCGGAAGATGTGCTTGAGTTCCCAGAATTTCGCCCTTGCTCTGGAGACTAAGGGCGAGACAAGCTCAAAAATAGAGATTCCAACAAACATCTTGATTCCCATGACCTCGACCGAGTCTGTACCCTGGACCCTGACCCCTTGTACCTCAACATGGTTCCCATCTTCGACATTGTGGAGGTACAGCTGGCACTTGGCAGGATTGATGATCAGGCCAAACTTCAGGAGTTCGTCAGCGAGCCCTTGAACCCTTCGTTGAATAGCCCTGCACCCTCGACTCCATAAGATGCCATCGTCAACAAATAGCATTTCTTCGGCATCCATCCCTTCAAGTACCCGTACATGCGACTTCCAGGCCTGAGAGTCAACTGCCAGGGCAAGTGCGACCTCAGCAGCATGTCCGAAGAAGCTCGGACTCTCGACCGAGCCCTGTTTGATCCCTTTGTTCATCTCAATGGTACTAAGCCCCCAAGGTGTCTGCAGGTGTCCACGTGTGGTTGCCAGCAGACCCTTCCAACACTGCAACTCTGCCCCCTGCCCAATCTTGTTCGACAGCTGTTCGATGAGCGCCCCTCTGTTCAACATGTCAAACGCTTTTTCAAGATCGAGCTTGAACAGGGCCAACGGGTGGCCCCATTCGCGTGCCAATTCAAAGGTACGGAAGGCTGTAAACAGGTAGTCGGAGCTCTGTCTGTGCTTTCCTGCGCATTGAGCGTATGTAGTCGGCGATATCAGCGGGAGAGCTCGGTTCAGCAACATCCTGCTGAAGAGTTTTCCGACCGCACTGGACATCGCGATAGGCCTTAACTCTCGTGCAAGCTTCGGCTCGTGCACCTTGGGCAGGAGCACGAGCAAAGGCTCGTTCCACTGGTGGGGTATGACCTGCGTGGTCAACACGCGGTTGTAGAACTCTAAGAGGTGCGCCTCGCCCCCGGGAACCGCAGAGACCGCCTGCAATAACTCTGTGGACGTGCCATCTACCCCAACCGATTTGTGTTTCTTCATCTGCCCCAGACCGATTCGAAGCTCCTCGACGGAGAAGGCCTTCACATCCCCAGTCCACGGTGCTTCGGGTGGAAACACAGGCCCCTGATACACATGAGTCAGGTGTCGGTGGACGGCTTCATGTGGGTCACAGGTTTGAGCTTCTGCAAAAACGACATCCCACCCCACTTGTTTGGGTTTTTTGAGTGCTTTGAAGCTTCCCCAGTCCCCAATGCTGGCTTTTCGCAGGCGTTCCAGTTCCCACTTCTTCCTGGCTTCCTTGCGCAGCTTGAGAGCTTGCTTCCAGAGTGTTGCCGTACCTGACCGTTTTGCATGCCGGAAGGCCTTCTTAACATCGTCCGGATCCTTATATGATGAGCCAGGAGCCGGTTTGGTGTGGGATTTAGCAAGGCTCTCAAGGACAGCTTGATCAACGTGGTCGAGCTGGGCAAGATCTCGGCACCAGACCCTGGGCTGACTGATGTGTCGCGGTCGTTCCTTACCCCTCGGAAGCAAAAAACGAGCCTCTACCAACTCATGGTCGGTTCCTAGGCACATGTAGGAATCAACATGAATTTGCAAGGAGCAGGACAGAACATGCTTCCCCGCAAAGACATCGATCACTTGGCCCTCCCGATCTTGTTGCCTGGGTCTGCTGGTAGGTACCCGATACTGGGATTTGTCAGGAGGTCGAAGTTGCAGCCCTCTTTCAAGCAGAACTTGATGTAAAAGGTTACCCTTGCCCTCCTTCGCGACCGGATGAACTTCGTCTCCCTCACACTGCCATGTGATCCCAGTATTCACATCTCCCTGAAAAATGACCCTGTGAGCATTTGCAGGGAGACCCTGAAAATGCGAACTCAAGTCCTCCTCATAGACCTCCACCGTACACCCCGGCGAGAAATGTGCAGTACCAAGCCACAGCTCGTAGTCCTTCGTGAGGTGGCGAAGTTTGAACCATGTCCCTTTTGGCGTGGCTTTCTTCCTGAGCACACACCAGACCCCTTCATCGTACCACAACCCTGTGCCTCTCCACTGCATGGCATGTCTGTGTGAGATCAGGCGCCTACCCTGGATGTGCGAGTAGGCCCAACCCTCTCCCTCTCTCGGCAGTTCCTGCAGCAGCACAAGGTCGATTTTTTGTACATCCCTGCCGGCTCCATCCCGAACTGCCTTAGGCAGCTGAAACAGATCTGATCCCCCAATGTTCCATCCGAGCACTGTGAACCCGGAAGAAGACTCAGCAAGGCCACCCTTCGGCTCGACCCCACCAGTCGCCCCGGACGAAGACGGAACAGAGGCGGACACGGCTTGTGAAGAAAGTAACGACGCCTGGCTTTCAAAGGAAGGGTCGTAGCATGCATACGGTTCAGCAGGAGCAAGGTCTCAGAATCGATGGTCGTCCACCAACCGATTCACATCGTCCTTAGACACCTCAACCCATTTTGCCAGAGTGCCAACGTCCAGCCAACCTGCTCCTGCCTTGGTGTCCAGGACCCTTGCACGAGCCACCTCTGCCGGTGGCGGTCCCATCCCAGAGACCTGATCTTCGCGGATCCACGCAGAGCCCACCCCGTACTCGACGTCAAGGTCGGAGGCGCGGTGCGGAGCCCATTTCATCACCGCTTTCTTGACCAAGGCCGCCACTGCTGCTCTACCCCTTTCCGCAGGGGTGCGAGAAAAACTGCACCACATCGGCCGGTTGCCACCCTGGAGCTCGACCCTGGCATTATTGACGGTGAGCAGCACCTTCATCATTCGATCCCGAACAGCTCCTTCGGATTCGCCTGGTCGCTGCTGGAAGTTTGTCATCGCGATGCTCCGACGAGGTCCTGTGGTGAAGGGAGCCTGATCAAGGTTGTCATGCAAGGCAAGTGCTTTCAAAGCTTCTCCCAGCTGGCCAAGTATAATCGCCCTACGAGACTGAGCACACCATCCACCGAAGATCAACGTGTGTCGACGATCTGGAGACCGACCCTGCGAACCCTCCCTACCCTCAAGTTGCTGAACCCTGTCCCCCATGTCCCTGAGTTGCTTCAAGACATCCTGGTACTGGGATTGCTGCTGGTCCACTTTCTCCTCAAGGGCCTCCATCTTGGTAGCCTGTTTTTGTTCGAGTTCGGCAAGCGAGGCATCCAACTGCTCCTTCTGGGCGACCAAGAGGGTTCGGGATTGTTCTTGGAGAAGCAGTCGGAAGGCATCCATGGTCAATCCCTGTACCGTAGTGTCGGGTTGCTTATTGGCCCTGCTGCGCTTGTTGGGGCTTTCACCTTTGCCTTCGTCAAGATCGGCATCGTCTTCAGGTAGCGGGGGAAACACCTCCCCTGGGAGACCAATCCTCAAGGGAACCGCTCGTCCCGGGACCGAGTCATGCATCATGTTTGTTCTGCCGCGTATCGCCGAAGACAAAGTACCGAATCGTCCCCCCTTTCTGCAGCAAGTGGCCGCCGGATCTCCTCGTTCGACCCCAGAATCGTGCCTTTGTACTCGAAGCGGAGCCCAAGGACAAGGCGACCCCTAAGCAGCACACCGCCTACCCTCCGGGCCTTGAGCCAAAATGGCTAGGGTTTAGGGTTTAGGGTTTAGGGTTTAGGGTTCTAGGGGCTCAAGGATTGAAGGGTTTCTCGGTTTGGAGGTGTAGGCTGAGGTTTTTCGAGCTGCTTTGTCCCAAGGTGGGCATCCTTCGTGCTATCACGAGTTTATGTAAGGTTCAGGGATTTGTTGGGTCGCTTCTCATGGTGATGCTCTCTTGTGACTCAGATGGGGGCCTCAATAATTAGAATAGGGTTTCGGGACCCATTATACTACACTTATAATGAGGGACCCCCAATCCTCCCACAATCTCAAGCACCTCCCAAAATGCCACTGAAGAGTAAACCTGAGCCCAGATGCCACCAGCCTTTTGCCACCAGTAGCTGCAAGCTTCGATGGGGAGATGCAGCAACAACAGGAGTGCTGATACACCGACCCAGGATATGAGAAAAGATCTGGTAAAGTGCCCAGCACACCAGGACTTTACATCCTCGCATCGGAAACCGACATCAGAAAACCCCCTCCACTGGTAAATAACGGGTGAGGGCGGGTGGGAAAGATAAATGGAAAACCGATTTGAGCAACATCTGCCCATTCGATTTCGTCAGATTGTGCATCTCTCACAACAGCAAGCTCCTGTAACTGACACAAAATAGTATTGCTAATTATCTAGGCCTCTAAATTACACGACAATGCCATTGCTCTCGAGCTTCTTTTGCTCAACGCATGGAAACTTCGGCAGAGGGGCGATCAAGCTGCGCTCAGCAGTCAGCAAGACCCCAACAGCGCCGCAAGGGCGCCAAGAGTCTTGGAAGCATCGGCACAGCCGTGGGTCGCAGGCAAGAGGCCCATGACCTGATGTTCAAGGCTCAAGATGCACAAAGACCCCTCTGAACTCCAATCGCAGACCCTCCACCCTACACCCTGAAACCCTGAAACCCTGAAACCCCGTATACCCTAAAGCCCCAAACACTGTTCCTGATTCGAGCCTGGATGGCTGCCTTCTTCTCAGGGCTGGCGCCGGTCTCGCCACTCTCAGTGCTGCCACTGGTAGGCGTGTCGGGCGCTTCACACGCCTCCGAAAAGGAGGGTTTCGGGTCCAGGGTTCAGGGGTGAGGGTTGTTTCGGGTTTAGGGTGTAAGGTTTTGAGAGTTTTAGAATGGTTGATATAGGTGTCCTGTGCCTTTAAGGAACCAGAAAACATGTCAGGCCTTCCGCTTCTGATCCAGCATGGCGCTTTTTGATTCAGCGAGCGGCTTTAGTTTCTCCACGTACTTCCGGTGTGCTGCTTCAATAATTGTCACCTTCTGCTCGAGGTAGAGGACACGCTGGTCTTGCTTCTTGATTCTTTTCTTTGCCTCCTGTTCCTGGCTTGCCGGAAGGCTTTTAGAATATGGGGTATAGGCTCCCTTCGCCTTGTCCTGCCAGGGCGCTGGCTGGTGGGGGGTAGGGGCAATGTCGCCCGTGAATTCCCATGAATTGAAGTCGAGCTCAGGCACAGCAACGAATTTGTCGATCTCAGGCAAGTGTGCAGGAGCCGCAAGCTGGGCATTGGCACACTGCTCCACGGCAAGCGTGTACCCTGTGAGCGCTGCTTTCACTTCCATGTGATACTTTGGACAGAGCCTGGGTTCTTGATATGGGGCTTACTTGCAATTATCTGCTGTAGATCCCTATTTATGGTAACTTAGCTATACTGAACTTAGAACCCTAGCATTTTTTTTTGAGTTTAGCTGTTTCTTAGGGATGCAAATAACTAAAAGTTAAAAATTCTTGCGAAGTGCACCTAAGTTAAACTGAACTCCTTGACAAGAACCCAGAAACCGCCCGGAGGAGTAAAAGGAGCCCAGGGCTTCCACAACCTGGGTTGGCCTTTAAAGACCCTATTTATATATAGGGTCCCTTATAAACCCAAATAAGGAAAATAAAAAATGTCGCACAATCCAACCTGGCAACTTTCGCCTTTTCGCACTGAGCCGCCTCATGCTGAAGGCCCGGCAGAGACTGAAAGTCGCTCGCCGCCTTCTCCTATACGGAACTTAGACTCGTTTAGGGTTTAGAGGATATAGGGTTTAGGGTTTAGGGTTCCTAGAAAACTTATGAACTTATTAGGGTTTAGGGTTTAGTGAAGTTTAGGGATTAGGGCTTAACGGGGTTATACTGAACTTAGACCCGTTTAGGGTTTAGGATATAGGATATAGGGTTTAGGGTTTAGGGCTCCTAGAAAACTTATGATCGTAGCTGTTTCTTCGGGATTATACTGAACTTATTAGGGTTTAGGGTTTAGTAAAGTTTAGGGATTAGGGCTTAATTGTAGCTGTCTCTTCGGGGCTATATACAAGAGCCAAAAATTGAAAAATATTTCTAAGTATCCCTAAGTCTCCGGGGCATGCTTCATCGTTGCAACCATGCTCGGGAGCATGGTCACCTCCATCGGCTCTATCAGCCGCTTTGCTTTCAGTTCATGTTAGAACAAAAACCGCGACACGATTCCAACAAAGATCGCCCAGACCCGAATCATGAACGCCGGGTCCCAAAGCTTGCACTTCGAGTCCAGGTTCTCCTGGGATGGTTTCGGCTAAGAACCCCATGGGAAATCCATGGGGTTCTTAGCCGAATCCATCCCAGGCAGACACCACGATGACCAATCCATCCAAGAATGCGTCCCTTTCTCGCCCGGATGCGATGGGAGGTCATCCCCCCCCCCAGTGCATGTCAAATCCCCCCAAGGCCTTCCTCGAATACTCTTGGTACCCATAGCCCGGTGCCGGCCTCGAATATCCCTGATTCTGATTCCCTATGCCAAAGGGCATTTGGACTTTGTCCATGATGCCCTGGGGGTCGCCACGAGGGAACACGAAACCTGGCTCCTGCTGCTGCTGACGTGTGGCGTGCGCGAGGGCCATGCATGCGAGGCCAAGGAGGCTGAGGTACGCACCATCCATGGCCACGAAGATGTACTTTATCAAAGAAACATCTGGCTGTGAACAGAAAAAGCTTCACGAAGTGGAGCTTCGACCGCCGTTGAGAAGCCAGTCGGGGTGCCCAAGATTCTTCCTACGAAGCCTTATCCCTTCTCTTGATTTTTAAGTTTAGGTTTATGTTTTAAGCCTCGTCCTTATGACAGGCAGTCCATACTCCCACCAATACGATCCTGAGAAGACGCCTCAAGCAGGGAGCCCGGGAATCCTCGGCGCCCTCTCTGCCACCCAAAGGCACGAAGCCCTCACCATTCTGAAAATCTGGAGGTCCCGTTTGAGGGGTCCCGAATAAAGCTATGGTAGGGGCCTTATTAATTACCTATACTATTTTGGGGGTTCATTATTTTAAATATAGCACACTGGGCCCAGAACCCTATTCTATTTATTAAGACCCCTATATTAGGATAGAGCTTCAGGTTGATATTACAAGGCATGAGGCAGTAACACAACTCAGCCACCCTTACGACTCCCAACCCCGGTCCGCATCGTAGTGCCACAGGGAGTTTGGACGACAGGAGTGAGACCTGTAGCAGCGCTGGGTTCGTGTTACTAAATCGTCGTTGGATCTGCTTTTTGCAGCAATCATAAGGGCTTACTGAAACGACCATGCTTTCCTTGTGACATAGGCCTTGTGATGGTACCTCAAGTTAAGCTCCTGAGAAGAACCCAGACTCCGCTTGTGCCTGGTTGCAATAATATAGCAGCCTGAATAATTAGAATAGGCTTTTGGTGGGCGTATAATACTATTCGGAAGGTATAATAAAGAACTCCCAAAATAGTATAGATAATTTTTAAGGTTTCTACAGTAGTAACTGCATCCCTGGTCGCAAAAGCTGGGCTCCCAGGCAGACAAAGACTTTCTGGCGCAACCGTGCCGAAGCAAAGCAAAACACTGCACTCATACTGGTCTGAGTTGTCCTTTAAGCCCTTTGAAAATTATTTACTACTATGGTTCTCTACAAAATAGTAGGGGAAATTAAAAAAGATCCCAAAGGACAACCCAGTGGTAGCCGTGTAGTAGGAATGACAGAAGCTGGGATGCACACGCACCCCGAACATGTAGCAGAAGCAACCGTAGAAATGGTCCAAAGTGTTAAATCCCGCTAGACCCACGGCCACCTGACTGAATCCATAAAACCTCACTAAGCGATTTCTCAAAACTTTACCAAGCCCTATTAAACCCTGCCAAGCCCTAAGACGCACGACCAAACCCCACGACAGAAAACACCCCCCCCAGCCGCTTCTGCTGACACCCGGAACCTCATTGGGTCTAGGGTGAGCAATATAGGGACCGTAAAGATTAGAATAGGGTTTGGGGGGGTATATTATACTATAGTCATAAAAAGGAAGCCCAAAAATAGTATCGGTAATTATTCAAGCCCCTATAGTAGGTTGTCGTTCGATAATCGGGTGCGGGCGTTTATGGTTGGGGCTGCGATTTTCTGGCTCTATCTCGTCCGGGCGCGCGGCATGAAGGAAGACATGAAGTAGGTGGCGTAGCCAAGCCTCGGCTAGTCGAACACCCCAAAAGGGGCCGTAAACCCCTGAAAGCCTAAGCCCCCAAACCCAAGCTGTAAACTTATATAACCCGCAAACCTCAAACCCAACCCTAGAACCCCAGCTCTAAAGCTGTGGACCTTTTAGACTTGAAATCGTTCAGGATTTCTAGAGTGGTTTGGGGTCTCATCAGGGCTTGGGCCTTAGGGCTTAGGTGCTTGAAAACAAAAAACTGGTTCAGGGTTTTGGGTATCCTCCCACAATACTAGACTTGAGCGCAAAAACCTGCATAAAGCGGGAAGGATGTTGCTAATGGCTCAGGCTCCTGAGTATGAGGTAAAAACCCTAAACCATAACCAGTGAAGCCTACACTTGACGGTGTTGAGCCCAAACAAACCCCAAGATCAACTGTTTTGGCCCGGCTTGGGTGTTCGAAAGACTGAGGCTGCTACGGCTCGTCCGTATGCTCGAAGCAGTTCAGGATCCAAACCTGCTTGCAGAGGCCTCCACTACCATCGAAACCGGGTTCCGCTCGGAGTTCCTACAGAATCAGCAACAGTGCCTTTTGGGGTGCTAGTAGCAAGGCTACCCGACTACTGTCACTATGTTTTCTGAGCACTTTTGCTACTGTTGTGGTTGTAACATTTCCGTTGTCAGTGGATGTGCTGCTTCCTTGGCCGTATGGGTTCGGTTCCTTTCAGGGTTCAACCCTGAAGCCTGAGGGGTTCGAGCGCCTTCTCCATGCAGCTCATGTCGGTGATGGGTTGCTCTCATATTGGCAGGCTAGGATTTGGGATGTTCGGGATTACGGGTTTGGGGTTTAGGGCTTGGTGAAGAAAGGAATTTTGAAAATAGGGTCGACGGCCAACCCTGAAATCTTCAAACCGGCTGTCCCGCAAAGAGGCAGAAAGCCCCAGACCCTAAACCCCTAAACCCTAAAACCTAAAACCCCAAAACCTGAAACCCTAAAACCCTAAACTCCAAACCCTAAAACCCTAAACTCTAAACCCTAAAACCCCAAACTCTAAACCCTAAAACCCTAAACTCCAAACCCTAAAACCCTAAACTCTAAACCCTAAAACCCCAAACTCTAAACCCTAAAACCCTAAACTCCAAACCCTAAAACCCTAAACTCTAAACCCTAAAACCCCAAACTCTAAACCCTAAAACCCTAAACTCCAAACCCTAAAACCCTAAACTCTAAACCCTAAAACCCCAAACTCTAAACCCTAAAACCCTAAACTCCAAACCCTAAAACCCTAAACTCTAAACCCCTAAAAGCCTAAACACCGGGGCGCCGGCCTGCATCAGCCGCTCCAGGTCCAGGGGCCCACACCTTCTCACGTGTCGCCCAACCAGAGCTGAGTTCAGGACTTTCGGGGGCCCCTTTTACTAATTGTAGAATTCCTTTAAAGGGATCTATAAGGGCTACTATAAGGGCTATTATAAGGATTAATACAGGGACCCTAATAATAAAAAAAGGGTTTTGGGCCCGTTATACTATACTATAATCATAAAAAGGAACCGCCCCCCAATAATAGTATAGGTAGTTATTAAGGCCCCCATAGTAGGTAGTTGCAGGGGGAGGTGCAAGCGCTGGGAGATACTTACTGGGAGAGCACGACTTTGGGCTGGAACCGCTGTATGACCTGAAATGCAAGCTCCCTCTTGAATCATTGAAAGGACCTCTGGAGCAGCAGCACAAGACATAAGAGATCGGTGTCGAAGACTTGAAGCATCCAAGCAGCTCGAGCCAGAGAATTGCATTCGCCTTGCTACAGCCATTGGAGCTGTGCTGTGCTACCGGCTACTGCCGCGCTCAAGTAGATAGGAGCTCTCAAGGAACAGCCTTCCGGGTCGTTCCGAAGAATCAACATCGCACTACCCGAGCCCCAACCCCTGGGAACCGACTACCCCTGCCTGAGCTCTGAGGAGAACTCCTCTACCAAGAGCCTCATCGCCTGACATGCTCAAACGCTTCGAGCTTCAATGACGGGATGAACAACCCGCCTTCGATTTAGGGTTTAGGGACCATAAACCCCAAACCCTAAACCCTAAACCGGGATGTCAGCTGCAGCCGAAGGTTGGGAGAGGAGCTCGGGATTCAAGCGGGTGCAAGTGGAAGAGACCATACAGGTGCAAGCGAGCACATGCGAAACGGAGACTTCTCCTCTGTTCCGTTGCACAAAAAAATGATGGAGGTAGTAAATCCTAGATGTTAACCTCATAGCCCAAAAAAACCTCAGCCTTAACCCTGCATCGTGAACCATAGGCCCCAAAATTCAACACCCCAAGTCCTAAACGGGATTTCGGAATCGTCAGGCTGCTCACCCTCCATCCACCAGCAAGATTCTTGGCGAGCATGAATATCATTGTGACTGATCTAGTTCCTCAGTATCCAGATCGACGACGGATTCTTCTGCCTGCTACAGAATGGATAGTTGAAACAACTACTACCTATACTGCATTTGCTGATCCTTTTAGCCTCACTACTGCGACTTTTGCCGCTGTCAAGATGTATGCTGCCAGAATACTCACATTGCCCGTATGACCTACAAAGCCAAGCTTACAAGCAGAGCTACTGCTGTTTGATTATGAACAACAAGAGCGCTACGCTACGTACCTATGTTCTTTCTATACATACTACGTTTGCATCAACGCTGCAGAGCACAAACGTCATTCTGTCAAGAACAGTTCTGAGCATACCTGACTTCCACACTAAACCCTACCGTAGTTGGTACGTGTAGCGACTCATCCTGCGAAAACCCCAAACTCTAAACCCTGAAGCCTAAACCCTAAAGCCTAAACCCTAAACCCTAAACCTTTAAATGGATGACAGTAGGGGATGCTGGATTAGCTATCCAGGCCTCAAGGCTCCGTGACCTAGGATCATGAAGGAACAGAACAAGCCCT